CCCCCCCCCCACAACCTCACAACCCCACTCCCAGGAAACCATATTTAAAATTATTTACCTACTCCTACATAATAAACAATCCTTACCACTCCACCGATGAATTGACTACATTGATAATTTGTATTTGCCTCATCGAAATTATCACAGAAGGATTGCTTCTTTTCAGATATCACATATATCGGTAACAGATCTTGTTCTTTTTCGTATGTGGCCAAGACTTTAGCAAGCAGAGCTGTTGAAACCAGTAACTGCAGGGTCCAAAGTGCATGTACTATGACCATCTGAAAGAAATAAAATGTGAAATCAAGGTATCGTGTAAATTCTATTAAATATTTATCATATTTTGCAGGCATTACTTTGTCTTGGCAGGCATTATTTGTTTTATCAAAGGCCCTGTCACACTATTGCGTATGAGAGAAACGTATGAGAAGCGTATGAAAATTAATGAAATAGTTTTCATACGCACAAAAATCCTTTGAAATGCCAGCGTACCGTACATCTGGCGTACCCCTAGCGTATGTCAGCGTATACCGGCGTATGAGTGATATTTTTCATACGCTGCAGGCATACGCTAGTACCATACGCAATAATGTGACAGGGCCTTAACATTACTTCGTTAACATTACTTCGTTAACTATTTTAACAAGAAATAGCTGCAAATCGTAGTCAGAGCTGTGACGTTAAGGTGGCTCACTACATTTTTTTAAAAATTAAAGATTTTCTGATTTGGATATGAATTTCTGGAGAATTATTATTTGTTTAAAAACAAAGAGTATAACACAAAAACCAAGGAGTTCCAAATTTTTAAAAAATACTCCTAACTGCCGTTGCAATGGCAACAATGACGTCAAAACAATGCGGATATTTTATGTTTAAAGTAATTTAACTGGGAAAAAAATTCGGTGACTCCCTTTCTTTATTTCATAAAATGATTTCTTTTAGTACTTTGAATTATCTTCATCATTTAAAATAAATATATAATTGCAAAAAAAATTATTACGAATTTTCACATTTTCCTATCATGAAAATAATTCAAAATACCAATAGAAGTAAT